CGGTCTTACATAAAATCTAAATCAAAATTATTTATTCAGTCTAGGCTGTTACAAGCACTTGCGAAAGTCGAGAGCTACGCCATCGGTTCGTAAATCTACGGCAGGAGACCTTGTACCGAGAAGAACCGGCAAGAAACTCGGCAAGGGCTGCTTTTTTTCTCCCTGTTTTATTTCATACAGAGCGTCAAGATTGAAAAATGACTTCATTAAAATTTGAAGTCACTTTCCATTACAATATTACACAATATGAGAGTAAAACAGTATTTTCGTCAATCCAATCACATGTGTAGCCAAAGAAGCTCACCGTTAAACAATTTAATATATATGAAAAATGAGCCATATTTATCACCAAGCAGTTTTGTCGTTTAAATATTCATTAACAGTATAATATTCTTTACTGAGTAGACAATTCTTAATATGGGTTTTAAACTAAGGTAATGGTAAATTTAAAATTTCCATTTATACTCCATACTCTTACGTTACTATGTTCTATCCTTTTCCTACCTTTGTCTCCTTACCTAAAAATGCTTTTTTATCGTACCTCCTCTACACAGTGGTCTCTACGCTCTTCTTTAAACTTAACCCTTGATATTGCCCGTCATACTTCGGAGCTTCTTTCCTACTCATTCTCTGTGCACTCGGTACGCCTGTGGAATTCCCCACCTAAAACTATTAGGAAAGCTCGCAGTTTGCATTATTCTATTGGTCAGGTATTCTATTGGAAGACTCACTTCCTGTCTCTACCTTGATAACTCCTAAAACCATATTTTGTATTTATTTTCTGTCTTAATTGGATTTTCTATATTTCTATTGCTTATTCAGTTATATCTATTTACTACTTCGTCTTGCACCCTCCCTCCTCTATTTAATTTTTATCTTTTTTTGATTGCCTGGAAGAGATTTCTACGTCTCTTGAATCATTCTGTATTCAATTGCGTAGTTGGAAAAAATTCAAGGTACACAATTTTTGCATAACTCCTTATTTAAAAACTATAAGATACAGAAAACAAAATAATATCATCAACAAAGTAACCTACCAGTTTAAGATTATCTTATCTTATTTCGTCGTAAGATAAATTATAAAAAAATAATCTTAATGAACATGCTCAGACTTTAATATCATATTTTTAAAATATCATCGGCTGAATAGTACCTAACTGTCATGCAATCATTATGAATGACACACCAGAGTCACAGTTTATAGCCCCCATCATCGACTTCATTGAATGAGAGCAATAAAATATGATTGTAACAGAGAGACCGCTTCCATTCATACTGTGCGTCTCGGAACGCTGTCTTAAAGTCTACACATCAGTAACAATGTACAGACCAATACCAAACCCGATTTTTTGCACTGCATTTCTAAGGTATTGGCGCCTGTCTTTTGTTCTGTAGAGTTGTTTCCATGGATTTAGTTAGAAGTGTTTTTTACTATTCTTGAGCATTTGTGTGAAATTCTCACGTTTACCTACCTGTTATTGATACCAGTGAAAGATATTTTTGTATTTCGTCGGAATAATGTCATTGTGTTTATTTGAAGTCATATATTACGTATATTAATATCTGCAACTTATGTTTTTCAAAACCTTACTACATGTATCCATAACTTGATTACTCAATTGTTTTTGATAATATATAAAAAAAAAGTTACGTATAAAATTTTATAGGGCAGCAAAAACTGCTCTCCTGATTGGATAAACTTTTTACGAGATCAAGTCAGGCCTAGAAAGTTTCAAATTTAAAAGAATTTATAAAAGCGGTTTACAATTCAAACAGAAATATGTGAATATACTTTAAAAAAATATAACCATACAATAGCACCTCAATTTCCACATTTAAGTTAAAAATCATATACTATAAATAAATAAACAAATAAATATTTAACAACATCACATACATTGCTCAGTTTCCAAGATGAGTAGCTAAAGCCCCCGTATTATGGAGTATCTGAGACAACGAAGGTACCACAACACCCAGACCCGAGTCAATATAGAAAAGTTCATTTTCTACATTGACCCGACCGGGAATCGAACCCGGGACCTCAGAGATGGCGACACCTTGAAAACCGGCGTGCGAACCACTCGGCTATGGAGGTCGTCAAAAAACACTGTAGGCATATAATAATGACAATTGTGTGCAAAGTGAATAAAACTCTAGGAACCCAGAAAAACTCTATGAATGTTTTGAAAAAAAGATGAATTCTAAGTTTGATTTAATTTACATTTACGATATTGTTATTTACTATACTGATATTTATCTTAAAGAAAAATTAATGGCTTTGTGTTCGAGTCCCTGGAGCTGGTGGATTTTGTAAGCTTTAAAATAAATAAAGTTGTTAATACCAACTCGCCAATGCTGTTGCACCAAGTCATACAGTTCTATATATATTATCGGTCTATGATTTTGGTGTGCAGTTGACTTTAAGGTGCGCTTTTAGTAATCGAATTAGTATATATTAATTATAATAGGAACATTTTAATTATGCTATTTAAAAGATTTTACCAGGTAATATCTTTTAAACAGCATAATTAAAATGTTCCTATTGGCAAAATGAGACACAAACCGATGCCACTATACAGGTAGGTTATCAACGTAAAAGTTTTGAGGTTTTGGAATTTTATTAATTTAGTTGCATTTATTATATTCGATCAATTTTGCATTCAGAATGCTATACTGAAAAATAAACTTAATGAACAATTATTAAAAAATCCACCAGACATTATATCGATCGTGTTAGCTCCTGGATAGCTCAGTGGTTAGAACAATCACCCAAATCGCAAGTTCGAGTCCCATCTCAGAGTATTTTTGAGCATTTTTCAATAAAAATAATTTGCCGTTTAAACAAAACCAACTTCAAAAACTTTTCTAATCGGTAAACTCAAATTTTCTAGAATAATATTTCTGTATAATTTATGGATGAATGATTTTTAAGAAACATTTTATTCTGATCAGTAAAATTTTCAATAATTAAAAGCGATTAATTACTAAATTATTTTAAATTCTAAGTTTTTTCTGAACAAAAAAATAAGCCTCGATAATTTAAATAGTTATCATACATATAATAAAGCTACACCTACCTAATTTCCTAATAATTCTTAATTATCACAAATTTTTCATGATATCTAAATCTTTATCTTTATTGGCAATTAAACACTTTACGGTATATTTTCTTATCATTAATAGAAATTTGCGGCAATAAGTAAATATTGATAGCAGAGTCAATCCTATTAATATTATAAATGTGAAAGTTTCTTTGTTTGGATGTTTGTCCGTTAATCACGCCGAAACTACTGAACGGATTTTGATGAAATTAAGTATACAAATGGGATATTAGCTGACTTAAATAATAGGATACTATTATCTCACGAAACATTTCCCTTAAGACCACGCGAGCGAAGCAGCTTGCGAAAGTAACGCATAATTTTAATACATACGAAAGCATATATTGGTTACTACAATAAGTTTTGTACAAAATCATCGTCAAATTGTTTGACTGACGTGCTGCAAACTGTACTTTCATTAATTATTCAGCCATTAATCATTTAAAATAAGAGAAAGAAAACGATAAAACTTTGGCCGACTATAGTCTAGAAGTCGGAAATTATTAACCGTGTCATGGGAACCATGTTGAATAACTCCAAGACTAGAGTAGAACCTCTCCAACCTCACCTCACTAATATGATTATCAAAATCATAACGAGGTACATACTTATCTACACATATTTTCAAGTCGTATCCCTTGTAAGGTAGACTTGAAAGACATATATCCTCGCCGGTTTTTATGACGTCTGACATAACCTTCCGATTAGAAGGACACTTGTGTGAAGGTGAAGGTGTCTTGACCTTTTACGGCTTCTACATACTATCTAGCTACTAACTTTAGGATCTTAGCAATATAACTATATTGAAGTTATGTTTATATTTATCTTAACTACCCCACGGTTGAGCAAAGCTTTAAAACCCCTCTTTTACTTCATGGTAATGGGCTCGACAAAAGTCGAATTCTCCGTTGGAAAACTTTCTGTTCAAATTTTTGCCAATCCAGGCTTTTATTGGATAAGCCCTACGATTCTGTAAGAATCCGGACCTGAATTCGAATTCACTCATGTGTCGGAATTCACGTCATTTAGTATAAAAAATTCTATGGATTCCATTTTTTGTATAAAAATACAAAACAAAATTGGTTGAATATACATCAGTGTCTCATATATTCTATTTCTATGTTATTTGGAAACTCACTTCACTTATGCCACGAAACGTTATTACCAATTCAAATTTAAGCGTATGCCGCTTATTGAAGAAAATTCGGACACCTGAGTGAATTCTAATTCGGGTTTGGATTTTTACAGAAGCGCAGGGTTGAACAGCTGGTACCGTTGGATGTTTGACCAGTGCGAAACGGCAAATCCTATCCGGATATCATTTTTTAATAATAATATACTTTATTCCACACAAACACGTCACACAAAAACAAGTAACAGAGAATAAAAAAAAAGTATACAAAAGCGGCCTTATTGCTAAGCAGCAATTTCTTGAATAAGCATGTCACTATTCGTATTTCTCATATGTCGTTCTCTAATACTTTCACACCACTACCAGTAGCTTCGCTAAACGTAAAAAGAAGTAATTCAACTTCGTGACGCGCGAAATGGAAGCAGAGACATCCAATACACGGATCAGACTCCGACCGACAAATCTATTTATATGGGACACGAGGACAGCCGAGAACCTGTTTGTCCAGTAATTAAATTCCGGAAAATTTTGAAATGCTCTTAAAATTTTGTATTCATTTCCTTGCAGATTATCTGCATATCTGTGATAGTACCAGACCCACTGAATGTTGTTTAGAGCATTTATCGAAAAATACCTTTTCAGGATATAATCGACATTGACGTATTATTAGTGTTTCAACATCGTTAATGGCAATTTAGGTTATGACATTAGTATTCTATGATTATGATGCATATCAATAAAAAGTTTGCATTTCTGTCGTTTTCCAGAATACCCTCAGAATAGCAGCTTTCTTGGTGGTGGTGGCTCTATCTTCTAGCTCAGTAGTCCAATCTCCAGGCAACAAAGACACATTCGAGCTACTCATACTCCACAACAATGATATGCACGCGCGGTTCGAACAAACATCACAGCTGAGCGGGACCTGTACCACTGTCGACAGGGAAGCCGGGAAATGCTATGGAGGATTCCCGAGGGTTGCACACGTGTGAGTGTATAAATTGCTAAATTAAAAATTACGGTTAAAAAAACTAAAAACCTTTAATTATACTTTTATTTGCGTCTTTTTAATTAGACTAATTACCAGGTTGATTCCGAAAGTAAAGAACAAACAATCAAATATTTTCTCTTAATAATAATAGTGTAGAAAATCTCTCAAGACTTATGATTTTCTAAAAAAAATATTGCAAATAAAATTCATCCTTGCAATAAATGGAACGTGTTCCTGCAGTAAGTGCACTTTAAAAACAGTCAGATGTCGGATTCGGATCTGTCTTAAAGTAGGAGGAAAACAACTTTTGCAGTGCAAAAGTAAAGGAACGGTAGTAAGATCTTGGTGTTACTGACAGTCTTATATTCAAATTCGAACAGCATATAATATCGAACAATAAATAAGTGTAAATCACTATTGATAATGTTGATCAATTTATAAAAGCTATTGTACATAAGCTTCTCCAAATAAAACGGTTAATTGCTCTTTATCGTATTATTTCTGGGAAACTGACTGCCAATTAGCTAAGATTCTGAGCAAACGTCTCAATAGGTCTTGAAGAGGAATTACAGACTGTGGGGTTTTTAGCGCTATGAAACTTCATGTAGCAAATATATAAAAGGATTTTAAGCTGCTTGTAGTAATTTGCAATAATGACTGTAGCAATATTTTGAGACACCATAAAAAGAGATTCTTAATATAATAGAGATATTAAGAAATTAGGTAGGCTCTCTTTTTGAAAAAATGATATTTTGGAATATGTACCGTGCATTTAGTAAATAGCGGTTTCTTTAGTATTTCAAACGGACACTCCAATTTTATTTATCTGTATCACTACATAGTATAAAAGAAGTCGCTTACTCTGTCCCTATATGCCTATGTATGCTTAAATCTTTAAAACTACGCAACGGATTTTGATACGTTTTTTTAATGTATAATATAAGACCACGCAGACGAAGCCGCTAGCTGAAAGCTAGTAGATAATAAATTAAAGTACCTCAACCGTATTGAATAGCAATATAATACAAGCTTGCGATATTTTAATTTAGAATAATAAACTAATTTCAGTGTGAAGGAAGCTCGCAAAGCTGCAGCGTCAGGAGAAGGCCCCCCAGTATTGTATCTGAACGCAGGAGATACATACACGGGCACGGCATGGTTCACCATTTACAAGTGGAAGATCGCCGCCGAATTCCTAAACGCCTTACAACCAGACGCTGTGGTGAGTACCACCGCAATACTTTCTTCAAAATGGTTAAAAGTAGTAAAAGGAGGTAATTAAAAACTTTTTGTTACACAATAATAAAACTAGATATGATATAGCACACCTTTTAAGGTGCTCGTCCACTGCGTCAGCAATTATACACCGACCGCACGACTCACAACGCATTGTCACTGTCATACGTCCACTGCAGTCGGATTTGTCATAGATGCTTCTATGAAAATTGCGACTGTCAATTTTGACGTTGGAATTATGCTGATTACATCATAGGATTGTTAAATATAATCCGTTGCGTGCATTTCGTGCGACCACCAGTGCTTGCGTGCTGAGCCAGTGAAGGAGCACCTTTAGTTGATATGTTTTAGAAAAAATTACTAACCTATATACCATGGACTAGAAAGTTTAGTATAAATAGTGTTGATAATTTTCAACAACACAGATTAATAGTAAAAATAGTACAATAGAAACTTGCCAGTTCAAGCTCAGAAAAATTGGATAATAATAATATAAACATTTATTTAGGACAAGTACAATTCCATCGATAAATTTCAGTAACTATGAATGAATTAATGAATAATTTATTGAACACGAACACGATAACAAATTATGGAAATTGAGATTAATTGTAACAATAATAACTATAGTACCTAATATTATATCAATCTACCTAATCTAAATGGAACGATAATCCGGTGAATTTGTAATGACATATACTGGAAGTCTATACAATATTGTATCAACTAAATTTACAATTTATTGTATGCCTCTAACTATAAATGTAAAAAAGGTTACATACATTGAAGATATTGATCGTTTTATTATGTATTTTATTACAAAAATAATAAATTCCACGAAATATACCACATAAGACTTATTATCCCATGGATAAATTATGAATTATTCACAAGCGAAAAATTTGTAACAAAAAGTTTTTACTCCGTCCAATCTATTGTTTAATTCATTATACTTTAAATAAAGCAATATGTGTCCGTCTATGGATGTGCTTACTGTGAAATCGTGATTTTGTAGCAGTAGCGAAGATTTACATTAAGCCACTACTCACACTATCATTTATTTTGATTTACATACACAGCACTACACCGTGTTATTGTCTTTGCTAATGTCCTTGCTTATATACATATACCGAACTATTATATACATGATATATCGCACTCTTAAAAGAAAATCTAATGTTATATAAAATTTTCAGAACAGTGATTTAAAAGATTGTCACAAAAACAAAAGTGTAAAGTTAGTAATTGTTGGTGTACAATTTTCAGTTTGCTATCCTTTAAAATTAGGTTTATAATAGTCGACAGATTTTCACCAAATTTTAACATACATAGTCTTATTAATATTGACCTTAAATAAAGGTGGTTGATATTATTTAATGGACTTTTTATTTATTAAAAATTCTTTACAATGAATAGTCACAGACATCAGGAACCAAACTAAAAATAATTAACATATCTATATATTGATAAATTATAATTGACGTTTTAAATATCATAGAAACGATCTTCTATCAGGGTAGGTAGTTTTGATAGAGTTTGCGATCGCAATCTAACCGTATTCGATCGTTAAATCATAGCGATCGTATTTTAATGTTTATCGCAAATCTCTACAATTAAATGTAAGGTCTTTTGTGAGTCGCGTATCGAGTTCAACGTCAAGTTAAGTACAGATAATAATTCGTTAACGAGCTATAGCTCGGTAAATAGGCTTTGCTATTAATTACTATTTAAGGCGAATTTGTACGAAATAATTACTTTTTATACCAATTTTATTCTAAGGATTTGCCAAATATAAATTATTTTATTATATATTCTTAAACATATCCCTAATGGTATGTTTAAAAAAACGTTTCGCGACGTATCTCAAATGTACAGTCAACAGCATACCAGGCTATACAAACCTGTCAAATTTTTCCACGTGATTTCAAACCATAATGCTTTGAGAGTAGAGAATAAATTTAAATGTGGTAACGTGTGGGCAGCTGTGTGTACACACACTATTTATTTAATCAGTAATAATACTTTAAATTAATAAAATTCAATGCTCGATATTTACTTGCATAAGTAACAAGTTTTCCGAGGAGTAACAACATGAACGTTATATTTAGATATTATAAATAACACTCATAATTGATCAAGATAGTGGAAGATGTTAGATAATTTAACGTTCTGAAAGGAAATACCAATGTGATATCGCTACAATTTAGATTGTTTAAAAGCTATTGCAAACAATAAACTAGTACAAATATCCGTTGGTGGAAATCTCATAAGATGTGCAAATATAAAGAAACTCAACAGAGACACTTGAAATGTTTGTAAAAAAACGTAAGTACTTCTACAAATAAATAATCGAACTTGAACAATCGATTTATTATCTGAAATATTAACAATATTCCTCGAACAAGAAATCATTGGAAAATAAAAAGTAAGTTATAATTATATGCTATCTAAAGTAACAAAATAATGACTAATATATTTTAAATTATAACTAAGGAACTGAAATGTAACTGCTACTAACCTTTCTACTAATTTTACTAGTTTAGCTGTTTAAAAAGGAATATAAATAATGCGCTACACCCGTTCAAAATGGTTTCATTTAATGAGTAGTGCGCGTGAAAATATAAGAAATCCTGTAAGTTTCGCTCGTTCAAGTTTAAGTTGCATGGTGCAACGCATTAATTAATAATTATCGCTAAATTTGACAGCAGCCCAACACTTTGATGTTTGTAATAGATATCCTGTATGTTTATTAACAGAAACATAAATTAAACTCTTAAAATTAAAGACTTTCGCTTAGGTTTAGTTGAATAGAATGAGTATAATATTTTATAAGTAATAATATAAGTAATTGGATTTGTACTAAAATTCTAAAATATACTATTATGCATTGTTTTATGGCCGATTTCGGAATTAAGAGGAGTACAAAATCTTAACTGGTTATTATAAAATAAATAAATAAATATTTAACAACATCACATACATTGCTCGGATTCCAAGATGAGTAGCTAAAGCCCCCGTATTATGGAGTATCTGAGACAACGAAGGTACCACAACACCCAGACCCGAGTCAATATAGAAAAGTTCATTTTCTACATTGACCCGACCGGGAATCGAACCCGGGACCTCAGAGATGGCGACACCTTGAAACCGGCGTGCGAACCACTCGGCTACGGAGGTCGTCGCTCTCAATAACTTAAGTCGAGATTCTCAATAACTTAAGTCGAGATTCTCAATAACTTAAGTTTTTAATTTTTACAACGCAAAATGCAAAAAGTCCTATATAGTTTTTATCAAACTGCTATCAACTGGTATCAAAATCAGAAACGAAAACCTGTTTAAGTATCGTTTATGTACAATTGGAGACGTGCTTAACTTTAAATACTCAATACCGAAACCGGGTGTTAGTGTTATTAAATGTAAGCTTATTGTGTGCTTTTTGGTTTTGGGTTTTAGTACGAAATTTTTTTGGATACCTATCGAAAATTAATACCTAACGGTTGAAATTGTTGATCTAGTTACCAATTTTCTTCAATCATGGCCCATTCTCCCTATTAGATATGATTCGAATTCATCCATGACCTGCCCTGCGATTCGATTTCGAAATCACTCGGGTGTCCGAATTCACTTCAAAAAGCGGCATCCGCTCAAACTTGAATTGGTAATAATGTTTCGTGAAATAAGTGAAGTGAGTTTCGAAATTATATAGTATTAAAATATCTATGACACGTTTACCCCCGGTTTCAATAACCAAAAAACTATCCGTTTTTGCTAACATCCGTAGCATTTCCTACCGATGGTAGCAAAAAAGTGTTTCAATAACATACCATTGGTAAGTAAAGCTACCGACGGTGTGCTACTAACGGATTGATCTGATACTGATAACCGTTCGTAGGCAAAATGTATGAAAATGGCGCAAACAGGTATTTCAATATCTTTCGGTAGAGCTGTCAAACTTACTATCCGTAGCTTATCTGTCAAATTTGCCTACCGGCCATTTTCCGTCGGTTATCGTAAAAAATATTTATAAATTACATGTTTTTCCTTGTTAACTAATAGAAAAATAAGTTTTTCATTAAAAAATTAATATTGTAGAAGAGTTTGATGTGTTTTGTGGTTCCAATTAGAAGTATTTAAGTTGTAATCATGCCAATGTTTGTACCTTTAAGGGCTCATACTACCAATTAATCATTGCTCCAGATGCTTTCTACAATATGTTTCTGTTGAAAAACTTGATGATTTACCTCTATATACGATATACTATACATAATTATGAAAAATCTTGTTCTGATGAAACTGAATTTGCCACCTACTTGTACCAAACTTATACACGTTACATTAGTTTATACCCTTTATTTTTTATTAAACACTGATATTGATTTAATTCTTAATAAAACCCAATTTGGATATAACTTATTTATTTTACAAATAAAAAACAATTCATAAAAAACTACATAATTTTTACATTATTCCATTGCATTTTTCTACGTTTGTTATACGATTTGACACAATCATTCCACTTTTTCTAATAACTATTCATTTATCATCCACAATTGTTCACTGTCAAATTCATTAAAGTTATCTTGCAAATTCAATAAGTATAGTACAAATCACTTTATACAATTAACAATTTATAATAAAGGTGAACTCTATATAAAATTCCCGCTAAGCTTCTACGGAACATAAATATAATAGAATAGAAGCACATACAACCTAGTCTAGAGTGACAATATTCACATTGAGGTTCGCTTGGACGTTTTAAATGCTTTTTTTGGAGCAAAAATTGAAATATATTAGAAAATGGTGAGGTATGTTAAAGTAACACGTTCGCGTTCTTGTACCTACTAAATTGACAAAACACTGCTCATAACCATGCACCGTACCATTTTAATGAACTGTGTATTGCACACGTTTATTTATATTCCGAAATTTAATTCGAGATAAAAAAACTTATATAAACAAATGATGTTATTTTAGGGGTTGCAAACA